CTTTAAGTCTTTGTTCCCCTGAGAAAAGTTGTTCCTGTATACCCATAGTTAAGAAATGACATAACAGAAAGTGCTGTGGCTGCCTGAGATATAAGTCTTTGTTCTCCTGAGAAAAGTTGTTCCTGTATACTCATAGTTAAGAAGTGACTTAACAGGAAGTGCTGTGGCTGCCTGAGATATAAGTTTTTGTCCTCCCGAGAAAAGTTGTTTCTGTATACCCATAGTTAAGAAGTTACTTAACAGGAAGTGCTGTGGCTGCCTGAGCTTTAAGTCTTTGTTCCCCTGAGAAAAGTTGTTCTTCTATAATTTTAGTTAAAGAACTTAAGAAAAGGTACGTTACATAGGCATAATCTTTACAATCTCTTTTTATTAATTAAAAACTTGTAGATATTCAAAAATAATCCATCTGTTTGACGGTTGTACTTCACTATTGTTTTTGATATTAATAGTCGAAGTACTATACACACGATACTCTTGTACTAATTATAAGGACAGATGGAAAGCATGAAACTTGATTCTGTTTATTCTCTCTCACTTACATATATCCCAAGTGGTTCACTTCCTACTCTCACTTACATATAAACCAAGTGGTTCACTTCCTACTCTCACTTACATATAAACCAAGTGGTTCCCTTCCTACTCTCACTTTACATACAACCCAAGTGTTTCACTTCCTACTCTCACTTACATATATACCAAGTGGTTCACTTCCTACTCTCACTTTACACATACCCCGAGTGTTTCACTTCCTGTTTTTAAATACAACAGGCCATAAACGTACAAAAGTGTAAAAAAATCAAATGCATTTCAAGAAAGTTTCAATCTGTTTTAATGTTAGTATATTATCACCAGTTTAGATTTTGTAATATTAAGCAAGGTTATTCATGGATTAAAACGTAAAGATTTTCAAGTATCAGTAATGCCATTTAGGTTTAATAGACTTGAAGTTATACGTAGTTTTCTACATAGGTTTCCAAAAGCAGAACATGAATGTAAAATTTCAGAACATACAAGACAAAGTATTATCTTCGAATAATGTCTCATCGAAACTGTGTGAAATATACTAATTAAGAGACTATGCTATATTTTGTTCTGCGCTGTTTTCATCAGTAATAATTTAGTGATTTAATTTACTACAAAAATATAGACCATCCCTTTGGACAAAATATTATTACATTAATATAAGCTATTAGAGAATTATTTTAAATCACTGTTAAGCATTGGAATTTCAAATAGTCTGAAACTGAGTTAACTGATAATTTAAATTTTGTAGTTAAATTGTACTTTGTATTTAGTATTTAAATATATGCCGATATATAGTTAGTTTATGATATTTGCCAATAAGATGTATACACACAGATTTCTTTTTTAACACAATTACGTTTTAATATACAAACAACAATACA